CACCATCCTTGCTGTTCTCGGGAAGGCCTTGCACACCCAATTGCAAAGGGCAGGCTGGGCACCTTTCATCAACAGCAGGAGGAGGAAGAGAGCAAGAGGCAGCTGGGGACAGCAAGGGCAGTGGAGTGAATGGGGGAGGAGTGCAAGGTATAGGCAGAGTGGCAGAGGCAGCAAAGTGCAAGGTGAAATGTAGGGTGGCAGGAGAGGTGGAGTGTAGGTAGCAGAGATGGCAATAGCAATAAGCAGATTTATACACCACTTCACACTTCTTTTGCAGCCCTCTCTAAGCGATTTACAGAGTCAGCCTATGGCCCCCAACAATCTGGCGCCTCATTTTACCAACCTCGGAAGGATGGAAGGCTGAGTTAACCTTGAGCTGGGAAGAATCGAACTGCTGACAGTCGGCAGAATTAGCCTGCAATACTGCATTCTAACCACTGCGCAACCATGGCTCATTATGATGCAAGACAAAATGCTGGGCGGTGAGAGGCAGACGAACACAGGGAAGCCAAAAGGGCAAAGATGGGGTGATTAGATTATGGAGGAAACAACCAGTGGTTATAAATGTGGGCAGGAGGAGTGGAGGAGTGCTGTAAATGCTGTAACTTTGAGGATCAACTATAAGTACCATTTGTGGAGCTCTGTTGCTGAACGAATGGCCATCATTTAAGCAAAGAGTACCCATATGCCACTTTGGTGACTAATGATTCATCAGGAACTGGGACTGACTCAGTTTCTATGAGTTGCTTTCAGCTACTGTAGATAGCTCTCTTCTCTGGTCACTGCCAGCTTTCCTCCATGGATGCCATCGCTGGATTGATTATTCCCTGAAAGAGGAGCTGCAGCAGAAGGAAAGCACAGTAGGGGGTCTTGAGGGCCACTAGGCCAGGACCGCTTTAAAGTGTCTGCATTTTCTGCCACTTTCTCTGCTAAGAGCCATGGTTACAATGCAGTATTGCTGACTAACTGTGCCAACAACCTGGAGTTCAACCTTGACGGGGCTGAAGGTTGACTCAGCCTTCCATCCTTCTGAGGTCGGTAAAATGAGAACCCAGATTGTTGGAGTCAATGCACTGACTCTGCTTAGAGGGGGCTGTAAAGCACTGTGAAGTGGTATATACGTCTAAGTGCTATTGCTATGGCTAATCTTGGGGTTGCTGTTTCTACCTGGGAATGAAAATTGGCTGATGCTCCTCTGTTGCTCAGAATTCTTAGAAAAGCCCAGGTTTGCTGCTTTCTCCACCGATCTTGACAGGTTAATTGCAGTGAGATTGCTGGAGCAAGATTTACATTTAAACATTCTTATTTATTCGAAGGTCTATAATGTGCAACTCCAACAGAGGCCTAAAACCATTGTTCTCCCTATTTGCTGTACTGGCCTCACCCACAGTTCATGTGAGGAAGAACAATTCAGGGTTTTCACGGAGGCGGGAAAATCATCAACCTCTCCCCCTTAAGTTGTCCAGTAGTAAATTGCTAAGACGGCATCACTGTCCATCCTTGTTATTGAGGCAGTGGAGCAGAACAAATTATGCTGCCATGCTCTTGTGCCACTTCATGGGCTGTGGAAAGCACATTAAACAAGCTGTCTGTCTGGATACGTGTGTTTTGTATGAAAACAGCCTATAGTCTGGCACCTAATGCTGTGCAATTCCCTATACTCATGTCATCTCCTATGGATACTAGTGACAATGCTTAACAGATTTTTTTTTCTTTGATGCCTTCAAGTCAATGTTGACTCTTAGTGGCTGCCTGAACAAGTCCCTGTGGTTTTCCTGACAAGATTTCAGAAGCGGTTTGCCCTTGCCTGCTTTCTAGGGCTCATTGAGAAAGTGACTGGCCTAAGGTCACCCAGCTGGCTTTGTGCCTCAAAAGTAAAAAGGTAAAGGAGTCCCTGTGGATTTTACTGTGCTAGTCGTTGTCAACTATAGGGAGCTGTGCTCATCTCTGTTTCAAGGCCATCGAGCCAGCACTGGCCAAAGACATTTCCATGGTCATGAGGCCAGCATGACATTGTGGAGCGATGTTACCTCCCCAGCAAAGTGGTACCTATTTATCTACTCGTATTTGCATGCTTTCAAACTGCCAGGTTGGCAGGAGCTGAGGTGAGGACGGGAGCTCATCCCATTGCATGGTGCTCAGGTCTCCAACCTGGGCAGCTAGCTTTCCAACTGACAAGCCCAGTGTCTTAACCACTGAGCCACAGCACCGCCCCTTTGTGCCCAGAACAGCAGTATAACTCCTGGTGTTTCAGTTTTCTAGCCTGGTGCCTTAACCACTACCCCAAAATGGTTCTCCATAACAGATATGGGAAAACCAAAACTAGATTAGTGCAGTTACACAACTTTGGTGTACAGTACAAATTGTGGTGGTGCAAAATGCTAAATGTCTTTGTTGGGGTATGATCAAGTACACCCCAGATTTCTGTGTTTGAGTCTTGATGTTACATGCAGGTATGTAGATCCCATCACTGATATCATAATGTTGCAAAGCTCATTTCATCATCTATCTTTCCCTTGCCTTCTTCATCTGCAGAACCTATAACTCATCATATTGGAAACCAGGATTTTTTTAAAAAAAAAAAACCAAACATTTGCTACCTAGATATCCTGGACATGTTTTTTTGTGTGTGTGGGGGTATCTAAGATGTTATGTCCATTGAAGGTATTTCTTTTGATAAAGAAATGGTATTCTAGTAAAAATAGATTACATGTTTAGCTCATGTACAAGAAGAAACAAATATTATGTGTCAAAATCACCCACCCAATGTTCTAAGTATTAAACCCGCATCCCTATTTGCAGTATTGCTGCTGAGTAAGAAGCAGAAATGTAACAAGCTGAAATTAGGCAGCTAACTTCTGCCAGAATGTTAATTTTTCTTTGCACAACAGTTCCTCTGAGCAAAAGAAGGGAAAAATGTGAACATGCTGTTTCCAGATTCGAGGGAGGGAGGGGAGAGATTCTGATTCTGATTATTGGATTGCATTAGGACCCAAGTAAACCACACAACTTCATGTTATATTTAGAATGAGAGATATTGGCACCATGACTTCATTGGTAGCAACATGCAAGGATTTAGGGCACTTGAGGCAGATTTTTAGCAATCAGTCATGTGTCTGTTAGCCAATAGCTGCTCTTGGACAACAACTTCCAGAAGGTTCAGACTTTGGCTGTGTCCCGACCTGAGTTGGTTACCTCATTCTGTCTTAAAATGGTAGGCCACCAAAGTCTTGGTTCCAGGTTCTCTGCCCTGTTATGAAGAACTGTCTAAGGTTGTGTAGTGTCGAGTGCCCATTTCTTGTTACTTAATCTGTCCCAAAGCTTCAGTTAGCCCATAGCTAATTTATGAACTGTGTGGCTCTGAGAAGGCAAAAACACAGTGCTTCTGAACCCAATAAATCAATACAGGTAAATTTTCCTTCCCAACATGTGAGCGAGCAGGGCCTACGGATCTAAAGCCCTTAGTATAGGGACAGAAAATCCTTCCTTTACTGTCATTGAGTTTCATATGGGTCACCTATGAGCTCTAAAGTAGTTGATTGGCTCTTCCACATTGTGTGGGAGATCTTTTCATAACTGCTGGTACTTACGTGAGGAGGAAGCATCTAATTGCTTTGTCTATTGCAGTGGTTCTCAACCTTTTTAATGCTGCGACCCCCCAACCGGTCGTAAGTCGAGGACTACTCAACCGGTCGTAAGTTGAGGACTACTCAACTGGTACAGCACCGTTTGCAGAATGGGACTTTTGGCGGGCTCAGCAGGGCAGAGACAGCCTGGACAATTCCTATTGGCTTTTGAAAGCCAATAGAATTAGACTCTATTCAAGAGAGTCTATTTCTATTGGCTTTCAAAAGCCAATAGAATAAAAGGGAGTAGCACAGCTAAGGAAAAGGGGAAAAAATGGCGGACTGCATTGTTTGGCGACCCCCGTGAAATGGTCGTTCGACCCCCAAATGGGGTCCCGACCCACAGGTTGAGAACCACTGGCCTATTGGTTTCACTATTGCAGAATTATCTCTTTTCTGGACAAATAAAAAAGGTCTTAGCTTTCACCTGTGCGGGAGGCCTTGAAAACCTGACCAGCTTATGAAGGGGGTTAACCAGTAACGCTTTTATTGTCAGCCTAGATCAGAGTTTGTCTCACAGCAGGATTAACCAATATTCAACTGGTTTTATTTTTTTAATATTCCTAGGCCCTGTTTTTATATCTCCTTAAAGCTTTTCAAATCATGCACTAAGTTTCGGTGGCAATATACTTTTTCATTAACCCCCCTACCCCCACCTCAAATAATATACTATATTTGTATAATACCTATGCTAGGTTTTATACATCTAACTTTTCTTAAACAACTACAGCAAACAGCTAAACGTGTTCCCTCCTCCTTCCCTCTTAAAATGTCTCTGCTTTGGCCCTTAGAAGCTAAAATCTTTTTTAATTTTTTTCCAAAACTCCCCATTGCCAATTGTTTATGGCAGCCTTATGGCGGGGAATTTGAAGGCATTTAGCTGTGCCTGAGATACAGCACACACCTACTAAAGAAAAAATATTTGTAAATATTTTTTAAATGTGTTTGATTATCATTTGTGTTTCTGGAAAGGTTAGCTTTGAGTTCATTCCTGCAACATATGGCAAAAGAATTTAGAAAGAATGTAGAAATGGTTTCTCTGAAAGGAAAGTGAAATTCTGAGAAAAGGTCACTATTACGGCACCTTCCTTGTTTACTAAATACATTGAAATACTTTCGGATTTATTATTTTATTGGGATTCCATCTTCACAAGGAAACTCCCTAGACTATTTAAAGAATAGTGTCATGAGCAAAAGGCCGTCCGATGTGTAATAAAGGTGCAACTACTATTTAAGATTACTGGGAAAAAAAAAACTTTCTTGAAGAGCCTTAGTCACGTAGACTACTGCTTCTGACACATGCTGCTAATATTTATTTTGTGACTCATAATAATCCATGGGTTATATAATAATTCTTGTGATACCATAATTCATGTTTTAATGTTTCCAATCTAGAGGAGTGAGGACACTCTTCTAAACAAGTTGTGACTTCAAGAGCTTTTCCATTTACGGCACATGCCCACAGTATTTTGTTTAATAAGGTAAGACCAATTTTATTTCTGATAATAAAAATTTAATCAGGGCCTGTGCGAGCTAATTATTGGCCAACTTGTGGGTCAAACGGCCATATATGATTTGTTTGGGACCTTTAAAATTCCTTTATCACAAACTAACTAAAAATGCTCCTTTTGAAAAGTTTAAATTTATTAAAATATACCTTATAATGCATTTCACAGAATACAAAAATTAAGGAATAAGTGATGGACCTGGTAGAGTGGTATCCCCATTTTGTAATCACTAGAAATACTGTTGTGTTTTTTACTACTTCTTCAAAAATAGAAAATCAATGGGAATGATAGCCCTATTGCCGTTATTTACCATGCCAAATAAAAGGAAGACAAGTAGCTTCAAAATAGAAGTATCCTGAAATGATTGGAGAGTGTTGCTTAGCTGTTTTTGTTGCATTGGTCTTTCCATCAATGCATTATCTCCTCCTTTAAAATACTAGTTTGGTGTAGTGGTTAAGAGGCATCAGGCAAGTAAACTGAAATACAAGGAGTTCTAATTTCCATCTCAAGCACAAAGCCAATTGGGTGACCATGGTCAGTCTTTTTCTCCCCACTCCTCTGTACAAAGATAAAGATCTGATCAATGCATCTGTGTTTAGATGTTGCTATATGATGTTAGAACATTTCAGAATTGGACCGAAATTAGGCCATTCTCAGGAGAAAGCATCTGATATTTGTTATCTAAGGAGGGTGCCTCAGTATATCAATTGATGAGACCAGCCCTGGACAACAATCTTCTAAATTCGTAGGTCTGGCTTTAAGTCAGCTGTTAAAAGAAGGTGAAATAATAACTACAAACCGATTACAAAGCATTGGAGCTGTTCCCTTGCCTTCCCCTGCCAAAATATATTCCTTGGGATTCAGATAGACTTGCCAATCTCTGCTCTTAGCTTCTTCAAGAGCTTGAAAGACTCAAGATGTGTGCAGATGGTGTGAGCAACCACATCAGTGTTTAGACGGTGCTCTCTTAAAGACACTACTTTAGACTTCACACATTGTGCTTCCCTTATATTTTAAAACAGAGGACACCTTTCCGCCACAAACTCTGCCTCCCCTACACTTTCTTGATTGTGCTAGAAGAGAAGGAGGTGTGGAGTACAGCAGCAGAAGCACCAGCAGCAAGACAAGCAAAGGAAAGGAGAGGGATAAAGCACTTATCCACCTTAGGTCTCCTGCTTCAGGTATTGGCTGTTCAGCTTTAGCCAGTGAGGCTCCAGATTGTAATGCTGACTGTGAACCTGGCATAGCAGAATGGTGTAGTTTGCTAAGTCAAGTGGGGACTCACTCCCCTGGTGTGAATCAAGATAAGGTGAAGGTACAGGTTTCCCCTGTCCAGTCATGTCTGACACTAAGGGGCGGTGCTCATCTCCATGTCTTAGCCGAGGGAGCCAGAATTGTCCAAAGACATTTTCCACAGTCATGTGGCCAGCATGGCTATATGCTGAGGCAACGCAGAACACCATTACCTTCCCACTGAAGTGGTGCCTATTCATCTACCTGTATTCGCATCCTTTTGAACTGCTAGGTGGGCAGGAACTGGGGCAAGGAACAGGAGCTCACTCCATCATGTGGCGCTCGGGTCTTGAACCCAGATCGTCAGTTTCCCAGCTGACAAGCTCAGGGTCTTTAACCACTGAGCCATGGTGCCCCCTTTTATGTCACGATGCGAGTGAGCAAGAATGAGCAAGTGAGATGTTGAGAATGGAACAAGATCGTCTTGTTGTGTTTTTAAATGTTTTATCCTTCTTGATATTGTGTTTTAATACAACTCAATAAATGTACCTTCAGGCTTATGAAGGAATCGTGGGGGGGTAGGGGAGGAGAAGCTGCTTGTGTCTTGAGATACAAGCAGCTGATTTAAGATCTTATTTCCTTTGTTTTATATACATATATAACATAATTGTAATCATTCCTTATGTAAAATGTCACTATAATCTCAATTTTACTCCCATGCTATTGGCTTTCTTTTGTGTGTAATTTAAGCAGCCTCATTCTCTATTTTTTTGTACTGTCACAGTTCAGATCCTTTCCAAAGTAATTGCCCGCAATGGTGGATAAAATGTATGGCATTCCTCTCCACCTAAACAACAATATGTATTTATATTTTGTCTGGATAAGTGGATAAGTTAATATTTGGGGGACATCAAAAAATACATAGATCATAATGAGAAAAATAGAGACAAGGAAAAAAAGGAATTGAATGGTAATAGTAATTTGCATCCCATGTTTCCACCCAACAAAAATATTCATAGCATCTAACAGCACTATAAGATACAGAAATGTTAAAGAACCGAATTGAAAACATACACAATGTATGTGAAAATTATCAGTTATCCAGGTCATAATTTTCTCAAAAGTGCTTTTTCCAAAAGGCAGCTGGACTGTTTTTTCCTTAAGGAAGATGTTTCGCTTCTCATCCAAGAAGCTTCATCGGTTCTCGCAGGATGGTGAGGGTGATGGAAGAATTAGTTCTGACGGGATTGGGGGGGGATGGGACTGGAAGTATTCATATTTCTTTGCAGTCATCTGGTTACCAGAAACACGATCCTTTCAAGCCCCCCCCATCCTGTCAGAATCAATGAAGCTTCTTGGATGAGAAGCGAAACATCTTCCTCAAGGGAAAAACAACTTTGAGATAATTAAATAACACACACACACACACACATACACACACACACACACACACACACAAAGCATCACTAAAACAAGTCAGAAAGCCAAATCTGAAACCCTTTCCTAAAGGAGAGATTAGTAACCAGACACAATTTCTGAGAGAGTGTGCTACATTATTTGGGAGTGACTCTGGATGAAGTATGTTAGAAGGAAATAGATTTTGGTGTTTGGAGGAAGAAGGTTGCTATGTATGGGATTGCCTGTATAAGTGTTTCTAGGAATAAAATTGGTTGATTTCCTTGAGCTTTCTGATCTCTGTGGTGCTTTCTAAGAATGTATGTGGTTTGTGACATCACTAAGCCATGATTCGTGTCATCACTAAACTCTGCTTAGAGTCTCCGGCTTCTGAAATCCAGGAGAACCTCTACAGCACAGCAAATCAAGAATCATGGGAGTTAATGTAATCACCGGAGGATATTAATTAGTAGAAGGACTTGCTGTCATTTTATCCCCATGTTCAGAAAAACTCAGCTCTTCCTTGGACACTTAGCCTTCCTTCCTTCCTTAAATCAGGACTGAGACAAGCTGAGAATGGCAGGAAGCTCTTGATGGTAGGATGAAAACTTAATGACTAGAGCCTGGATGTAGTTAATACAATCAGCCTGGACAATTGAATCATTTGGGCCAACATTAGCTTTGGGAATTTTGCCCCCCTTCCATATCAGGCCAAAGTTTGCTCACAGTGTAACTTAAGGTTCTCTGTTTGTTTTCAGTGTTTTTCTGTGAGTCCCCTTAGCCAGATTGGCAAAATTAGGAGAACTGCCCCACTGTCTAAAGAACATAAATGTATGTCTTTATATAGGTGCCCTTTGCCAAAGGTTGTACATTTGGGATTGTTCTCCTAAGATGGGAAAGCATGCTTGTGCAACTACAGCTTACTCTTGGTTTTCCATTACCCTGGAGGACCAAAAAGTCAATTGATAGGAATCCTTGCAGTTGCAAGTAGCAACAGATGAAATAGCCATGAAGGTAAACTGATTTCCATTTTTTTTTCCCCATGAGAATTCATGTCCTGCTCGCTCCTGATTTTTCTCTGGAAACTAAATCAACAAAATCTGAATGTGGGGTCCTTGATGCTCTCTGAGCTTGCTTGTTTTCTTGCAGACATTTTTATTACCCAAACTAGGTAACCTCAACATTTATGATGTTACCTACTTTGGGCAAGGAAATGTCTGCAAGAAAACAAGCAAGCTCAGAGAGCACCACCAAGGACCCCTCATGTCAATCCTGAGCTACAAATATTCTCCTTTATTAAATCTGAATGTAATTGGGTTTCCTGAATTTATTTCCACATTCCCCAGACATATTGATACTCTTGTATAAAGACTTGTAACTTGTTAACCTGGCTACATTAATGCAGTGATACCGTACAGAGAATACAGAGAACTCGTGATAATCTGAAGGAATTACAGATCTCAGCAGTTCAGCCCTTTCCAAAAATCTGAATAAGCATGTAAAGTTGTCCCTTAAAACACAAAGGGAGGGCATTTGATTTTCACCTGATATTAGTGTCACAACATCTAGGACTTGTGAGCATTCTTAGAGAGAGAGCAAGAGTGTAGCAAGCCAGTGGTAGTATACCATTTCTACAAAATGAAACCACCTGAAGAAAGAAAGAAATCCTCCTGTTCAATTATTCTTAAAGTATTTAAAAATGTATTTGCAAATCTCTTTGCTGCCCACAATGCTTTCAAACTGAAGGCATTTCTTCAAGACATCTGGGTGCACTTTCATAAATTAATAGAGGAATGCAAAACCTGAACATCATTAAATACGAAATTATTCCTTTTGAGGAATTTTGGGAGTAAAAGGAGTTTAATGAACTTCCTGTTGATAGGAAAATGAAACTCCCCGAGGCACACACGGGAACAGGAACTCAGTAGAACAAGCTCCTGTAGTTGTTTTCAGAAAAAAAAAATGCTGTTGTTGTTTATTTCTTTTATTTTAGAAATGTTATGGCACCAGAGTGTAGGAGTGCTATGGTGTGTTTTATTGTAATTCCTCCCACTCCTATATTTCTTCTCTTCCTCTCTAAGAGAAAAGAAAGGCAAAGTCTGTTGTACTGTATTTAGAAAACTGCCCCTTCAAACGTGATGATGTAATGAAGCCAAGAAACTTGCCTTAATTATTTAAGTTCTATATGCTAGCCTTTGTCAGAGCGCCATGGGGATCTAGTGGTAAAAATGCTTACCTCCCACTCGGTAGGTTGAAAGTTCAATCCTAGGTAGCAGCAGATATTTCTCTCCTAAGGGCAAAGAAAAAAATATTTGCTGCAAACTCCGTGTGGCGTCAGGAAGAACATCTGGCCAATAAATGCTCAGTTCCATCCAGTCACCCCAACTCTACCCCTAATTAAGGGATTACAGGGCTGTAAAAAGGGAGTTTTTTTAGTGCTGGCCTTCATCAGCCTAAAACCTATTCTAGATACCTTCAGTAACTTTCACCACCCTAAGTTAACATGGGGAAAGAACATATTTGCTATGGTGAATCTGTAACCAAGTATGCTCAAAGGAAACTAATCAAGGATGCACTTTAACTATTGTTTTGTGTTCAAAATGATTCTCAGTTTTATTTTTAAATCGTAATTTTATTGCAGAAATTTAATTTAAAAAATGTTCCCAATGTTACAAGGCTGTGTAGAAATGTGGTACGTAAACCATTTGTATAATCTGTGATGCATTAGTGTGGAAAAAAATGGGTAGAATATTTATTTCTTTATTTAAAGTAGAAGGTAATATATCTTAATACCAATTTCCTGTTTTTTAGAATAAAAAAATGACGTATAAAGTTTTTAAATAAAATTTGGCTTCCGTGTGATTTACAGCTTTTGTGTGAACTTACCAAACAAATAATATGTATTCTGTTACTAATGCACCCTTAGGTTAACCGGTTCAACAACATCCTTGTGAAGAGAGTTACTAAAGAATTGAAGACAAACATATTCACCAGTTCTGTTCTGCAACACTGTGACTGCAATGTCCTGCTTTTAAGATGGGTTCTTCAAAGAATAGGAAGTAAACTGATAAGAGAAGTCTTCGTTTAGACAAAGCATACTAAATAGACACTCCGTTATCTAAATCACAGCTCAACATGGCTGGGGTAAGTGTTAAAAGATGAATCTTTTTCTTTTCATCTTTTTTGTTCTTCTCTCCCATCTGATCCTGAGAATCCTTTGAGGGGGATGATTTTTGGGTGCCATGAAAGGGTAGACAATGCTCATAGTTTATTCTGTTTACAAAGAGAAAAAGGGAAGTCTTGGGCTGTCTTCTCAGGTGCTGTTGGGTTGGCTTTAAGCCAGTGGTTCTCAACCTGTGGGTCGGGACCCTATTTGGGGTCGAACGACCATTTCACGGGGGTCGCCAAACAACGTAGTCTGCCATTTTTTCCCCCTTTTCCTTAGCTGTGCTACTCCCTTTTATTCTATTGGCTTTTGAAAGCCAATAGAATAGACTCTTTTGAATAGAGTCTAATTCTATTGGCTTTCAAAAGCCAATAGGAATTGTCTCTGCCCTGCTGAACCCGCCAAAAGTCCCATTCTGCAAAGGGTGCTGCACCAGTTGAGTAGTCCTCGACTTATGACCGGTTGGGGGTCGCGGCATTAAAAAGGTTGAGAACCACTGCTTTAAGCACTAGTGATGAAAGATGTCTCATAGGTGTTTACCTACCTTTTTACCTATAGAGTAAAAATTCCTGGGCAGGGTGGGTTATTGAAATACATCATTATTTAGTTTTCTAGTAAGTCTATATTTACGATTGTTATGAAATCAGGGTCAAATGAGAAGAACAAAGTCCAGATTAACAGTTGCCTAGGAACTATGTAGAACTACGGCCTTGGATATTGATAGGTGAATCATTGAATCAAAGTTCCTTTGCGAAATCCTCAGGAAACACTGCATAAGAAATTCTAGCTTGGCTTTTTATTTGGAATATCTCTCTCACAGAGTGCTGTGCGCGAATTAGATAATGACTGACAATGACTTTGTGCCTTCAAATATACTAGAGGTGGATTAGTCCCAGGACATGGATTAGAAGTACAGAATAGATCTAATGTATGTTTGCATATTATGCTAAGGTCTGCTTTGCTTAAAGATGATGTACTGAATAAGCCAGACTTAGCTGAGATTTGATGACATTCTAAATGACATTTTCTGTGTTCATGCCACAAGCCAACGGTCCATGTTACAGCATAGTGCAATGTGTTTGGAAAATCATTGGAGAAAAATCTGTAGGCCTGAATTGAACCACAAAGTAGAAATATTAATATAGCTAATAGAGCAGATGAGCAGAGTGGATCAACATAAGCTGGGTCAAAATTACATTCCTCCCCTTATCATGAATAACATTCAGATTATTATGTTGATTTGTTTAATGTAACTCATCACTATATCATCCAGCGTACTTTTTCAGATTTACTGACTTTTTTTCCCACTTGCTGTTTTTTATTCGCCTGGTAAAGAAATCCTTGTGTGTGAGACCTGTGGTCTCATTTTAAATAATCATAATAAAGGTATTAGCTAATTGTGGTTTTTACACAAGAAGTTACTGCCTCTCAGACATGGTCCTCTCTTCATATTTATTCATTTATGGAAGTGCAGGGTCAAGGGAAAGACATGAAGCTAATGGCTGTGGCAATTCTATTTTCATATTTATTTCAGGAGGAAAGTGATGAGTACAATTTTAGTATGTGGTACCATTTGGTACTATGGTTAATCGTCATCTTTATATGGTGGAAATGGAGAGATGGAGAGAATTTAGATGAAGTGGATCCCGAAGGGAAGTACATATTCATCACTGGTTGTGACTCTGGATTTGGGAAACTGGCAGCTATGACCTTTGATAGGCGAGGATTTCAAGTGATCGCTGCTTGCCTAACTGAAAAGGGAGCAAAGGAGCTGAAAGAGGAGTCCTCAGCTAACCTCCAGACAGTGCAGCTGGATGTGACAAACTCAGACAATATCAAGCAAGTAGCAGAACAAGTTAAAAAGGAAGTAGGACAACGTGGTAAGCAATTCAATCCTTTTCCGGTATGTTTCTCTCTGCCTACTAAATACAGAGATGAGAAGTGAGCGTCAGCACTTTTATGGGATGCATACCAATGGGGTTGTAAACACGAGAGAAATTTTGCTCCACCCCAGTTATGTCAGAGTCCATGCTGGTTGGGAATGATAGGAACTGGAGCACAGGAAGGAATAAGCTGAAGGAATTTATTCTGCTGCTTTCGTTGGACTTTCCCCCAGGGCATTCCAAAAGGCTGGAGTAGGGCTGTTGTTGGCCAGTTTTATGACAATATGTGGCAGCAGCAACTATCCTGTCCTAACATAGGGAATTTTAAAACTATCCTCTTCTATAAACAAGATGCCTCTGGGATATGTTTCTGTATTTTGCTAAGTTTCAGCCATGGCAGGCCAATTGAAACTCTGTTAAGCAAAATCCCATTTAATTGAAATGGGATTCTGTAAAATGGGCATAAGAATAAAGACTTACATGTTGCCAACAAATCCACTGTATTTTATATCTATCGCCTTATATTAAAGAAATAATTATTCCTCCCTCTCTTCAAGCTTCATGCTTTAAAAGATTACAGAAAAAGGTTAACATATCAATTATGTATATTTATTATTGTTTAATTATATTGGAGTTTTAACCCTTTCTTAGTCACCCAGAGTTGCTGTTGCAGTGTGGGCAGCCATATAAATTGATTAATTAATTCAGTGGTAATATGGTGTGTGAACATAGCGGAACTTACTTCTGAGTATTTTATTCAGTCTATCCTGTTTTTCCATTTATGGAACATTTGGAACAATAAAGATGTAAAATAAAATTTAAAAAAATGAAAAAATAAAAAACCCAGTAAAATATCTTAACTGTTCTTATCTGCTGAAGGCTAATAGAGCATATGACCAGTAAATGTTGCATCTTCAAAAAAAACCTGTCCTATATATAATATCTGGGAAAGTTAAAAATCACATAGGTGATCTCTCTTATGTTTAGATTTTAAGCTGTTAGGGGATGTTTAAAGGTTAACACCAATATCTTAAATCAGTGTTTCTCTCTCTGGCTGGGGAATTCTGGGATTGAAGTCCACCCATCTTAAAGTTGCTGAGGTAAAGAAACACTGCCTTAAATTTTGTCCAGAAAGCCCTTTGGGAATTGTGCTGGCAAGAAAGAATCAATATTTTTACTGCCGAGCAACCTGCATCCTTGGGCAGCTCCTCCTAACATTTAGCTAGCTTCTCTCCCTCTTCCGTGTCTTATTTCTAGGAGAGAAAAAAATCTCTCTCCTCAGCCTAACAGCTTTTCAGTCTTGGGCATCTTCCCCTAATCTCTCGTTCAGGATAAACAGTAGTGACAGAGACTTTGCTTTGCCTCTGGAATCAATCCTGACATCTCCAGGAAGGGCTATAAAAAATTGTGGCAAGCCACTGCCAATTAATGCAAGTGATACCTGGCTGTACGGACCCAAAGCATCATTTACTATGGCAGCTTTCTGCAGTGCTCTTCAGAGTAGAACTTGATTTTCAGTTTTCTAGTTCATTTACGTCCTTTTAATCCTTTTCAGGATTAAACAGATTATGTGTTGTGAAAACAATTTATATTCCTGGATTATGATTGTTGCAACATTGTGTGTGTGTGTGTGTGTGTGTGTGTGTATTTGTGTGTGCGCCCACTTTCTTAATGCTTTTCATAATGCCTGCAACATTATTTAATATATTCAGATATAATAATTTTTGTGGGCTTTGTTCCTTTGCAGGTCTCTGGGGCCTTATCAATAATGCTGGTGTGATGGGACCATCAGCACCCACCGATTGGCTGAGGATTGAGCACTATAGAGCACCCATTGAAATCAACCTGCTTGGCCTCATAAACGTTACATTAAACATACTCCCATTGGTGAAGAAAGCCAAAGGAAGAATAGTAAACGTAACCAGCGTTGGTGGCCTTCTGGCAATATGTTCAGGTGGTTATTGTCCATCCAAATACGGAGCAGAAGCATTTACCAACAATTTAAGGTAAGACAGAAGTTCATCGTGCCTAAGATTCAACCCAGTCTGGGTTGCTGTAATGTCAGCATCCTATCCAGTCATTCGGCTTTATGAATGACTCATCTATACATGGTTCAGCGTAAGTGGGTCAAGCCTTTAACATACATTAAATCTTCTCTTACTTATAAAGTAGTGACAAAAGGAAGAATGAGGACAGGAAAAGTCTGGCTTGGGGAGAGGACTGTTTTTCCAAAATCTGTTGGAAAAGAAAATGGAAAGAAAATGGCTATCCCAAGGAGGAAGTGAAAGTTTTAAATATTAAGAAATAATCCAGCCTGCCTTAGTGCAGTCCAGTACAATGTCTATGGAGATTGTCAGTCATCTAGGTCACAGTAATCCCAAAGGTGCTCCTTCACAAGGTAGCTGGACTTTATTGTTTGAAGACGTTTCACTTCTCAGCCAAGAAGCTTCTTCAGCTCAGAGCTGAAGAAGCTTCTCGGATAAGAAGTGAAACATCTTCAAAGAAAAACAAGAAAGTCCCGTTGCCTTGTGAAGGAGCACCTTTGGGGGTCCAGTACAATGTGCAGATATAGATTCAGCAGTAGCCGCTAAAGGAGGACACTATGTATTAGACCAGGGGTCCCCAACCCCCGGTCCGTGGACCGGTACCGGTCCGCGGCATGCCAGCAACCAGTCCATGCACATCAGTGACGCCCCATCTGCAGGATGCAAGCAGCATGCAAACCTATACTCTCTCTGGTCCGTGGAAAAACCTCTCTCCATGAAACCGGTCCCTGGTGCCCAAAAGGTTGGGGACCTCTGTATTAGACTATGCTGATCTAGATTGTGCAAATCTAGAATCTTGTAGCACATTTTTTGACAAGCAAATATTAGTAAAAAGCATAGGTTTTCACAAACTGCTGCTGCCATCATCCAATCTCCCATCATCAAACCGTGAAAGGTCATGACTTTTAGTAGCTATTTAATCACATTTGTTAGTCGCAGCAGGAGCTACCACATTCAGCAATACTTTCTCTCTCTCTCTGAAAAGTCCTTCTAGTGTAATAAGTTACTGAATTGCTGTTGACCTCTTTTCTTGTTTTGCAGACAGGACATGAAGCCCTTTGGAGTGAAAGTGTCCTGTATTCAACCTGGCTTGTTCAAAACAGAGCTCTCTGACAGAGTCCGGGTCATAAAAGAAAAAGTGGCCATTTGGAATAGCCTTCCTCCCCCCATCCAACGGCAGTATGGTGAACATTACCTCAAGGAAGGTAAGCTATGAAATGATTTCAAGGGTCTAAAGAAACTTTGGAGCTGTCAGATGTCAGGGGAATTTGTCCCATCTCGGATCAGCAGGTGCCTTTGATGCGCTGAGCATTTAAATGCCCTCTTTTCCATTTCATCCATGAGGAAATCCCATTTGCCATGGCCTCCCCATCTCTCCACCCTTGTTAACCCTCATAACACTATCCTAACATTTCCCAAGTTCCAGAGCCCCACAGTCCACCTTCATGGAGGGAGCAGTAGAAGGATCATCACTAGCAACTAGGTTGATGCTATTCATGGCAAGCTATTTTTATTTTTAAAAATTGTTTACATTCTGAGTAGCAGGCTGGTCATGTAGATAGTTATTGTCACAGGTACCTATTCTTTATTTGCTTTCTCAGTTTTTTTAGTGACTTCAGAACTGTGGATTTCAACTCTGTGAATTCCAGGTTCTAAAATTATCTAGGTCAGTGATGGCGAACCTTTTAGAGACCGAGTGCCCAAACTGCAACCCAAAACCCACTTATGTATCATCGGGTGCTGGGTGGGCATGGCCCATTGGGTGGGTATGGCCAATTGGGTGGGCTAGGGTGCAGTGGTAACGGAAGACTGGGTGGGGCTAAAAAGTTCAGTCAATCAATTCCAACTGTGCGAGATCTTTTTTTTTCCTGCAAGAAGTTGAAATTGATTGATTGATTGAACCTTTTTTTTTTTTTGCACACGGCGGCAGAGGCCTAAAGCGAAAAGTTTTTATAAAACCCAGCTGAAGGCTTAGGACTGGGGCGACGGCCCGTGTGCCCATAGAGAAGGCTCTGCGTGCCACCTGTGGCACATGTGCCATAGGTTCACCACCACGGATCTAGGTGCTCACTGCCTTTCCTTAGCTGCCACTTCTTATAATAATTCACAACATCTTCTACTATCCCCTATAATCATCGCCTTGCTATACTCCAAATCTTATTACTGTAGTATCAGCACAGCTATCATTGGAAGTTGCCAGAAAATTCTATAAATCATTAGTAAGGACCCCGTCTAAATATGGCATCAATGATTTTGCTCAGCTGCAAGGTATGCGCCGATTTATGTATGTGTGTATGACGTGTAAAATACTCTTTGTCCCTCTTGTCCAATCATACTATCGGTATTCTTTGTAGATTACAAGAACAAAACCATGTGTTAATCTGTCAGATCTTGTTAGCTCTATTAGTACTGTATATATCTGTATGTACTTAATGTAACCATGCAATACAATTTATCTTTACTGCTTCATATTTTAGAATCATAATCATAAGTACACCAGACTACTTAATCAAGAGCCTTGAATCCCGTTACTGAAAATATTCTCCTCTCCCTTTTGTTCTTTCCCTAGACGCAATAAAGAAAGAAAAATTAGTCAAGCTGTGCCAGAATTCAGACCTGTCGCTGGTTGTGAGGTGCATGGAACATGCCATAATGAGCAAATATCCAAAGACTTATTACAGCGCAGGCACAGATGCTAAATACTTTTGGATTCCTCTCTCAAAGATGCCCACCTGTATCCAGGACTATGTGCTCATGAAGAACAAAGTTGGGCTATTTAATCCAAACTCAGAATAAGATCTCCTCCTTTGTTTACTTGGAGTTTCCAGGGGAAGAACTGACTGTGCTGTGGCCATTGTTTGTTACCCAGTTCAAACTACCCGTTCACGTACCTGCTTCGAAAGTTGTGCTTGCTTAAATAATGAAGATAAACACTCCAATGTTCAGGCAAATAAGCATCCAGTAGTGTGGGTGATCCCATTTCTTGCTGGCATTAAGACAATAATATGGTCTATATTGTCTGTTGGTTGTTAAGGCTGAACTAGCAGTTGCTGACAAAAATACGCCTTAGGCAATCAATCAGTCAAAACTTGGAAAACCCTATTATGACAGGACAGTGAAATTAATTGTGTATTTTAAGAACTCATTGGAAAGAAACAAAACACAAAGGCAGTTAAAAGTACTAACTACGTGCTTTGCAAAAAGTGGTGATGTGCAAGAGCTCAACAGAGGCAAAACAAAATCTTTGCTCACCTTTGTGTGTGTGAGAGAGAGGGAGAGGAGAGGGAAAAAGAGGGAGAGAGAGAGAGAGAAAGAGAGGGAGAGAGTGTGCCACACAGTGGCAATTTAAGCCCTTTGTAGAGGATTCAGTTCTTGGATTATTGGAATTTTCTCAGAGGTCAAGAGACTAACCAAAGGAATAATTGAAAGCTATACAGCAGTGGTTCTCAACCTGTGGGTCGGGACCCCATTTGGGGGTCGAACGACCATTTCACGGGGGTCGCCAAACAACGCAGTCCGCCATTTTTTCCCCCTTTTCCTTAGCTGTGCTACTCCCTCTCTTGAATAGAGTCTAATTCTATTGGCTTTCAAAAGCCAATAGGAATTGTCCAGGCTGTCTCTGCCCTGCTGAGCCCGCCAAAAGTCCCATTCTGCAAACGGTGCTTCACCAGTTGAGTAGTCCTCGACTTACGACCGGTTGAGTAGTCCTCGACTTATGACCGGTTGGGGGTCGCAGCATTAAAAAGGTTGAGAACCACTGCTATACAGGTAGTCCTCGACTTATTATCACAATTGAGCCCAAAATTTCTGTTGTTAAGTCAGATATTTGTTAAGAGGGTTTTGACCCATTTGATGACATTTCTTGCCACCATTGTTAAGTGAATCGCTGCAGTTGTTGAAGTGGTAAGCTGGTTGTTAAGCGAATTTGGTTTCCCTATTGACTTTTCTTGTCAGAAGATCACAAAAGGTGATCACATGACCCCGGGACACAGCAGCTGTCATAAATATAAACCAGCATCTGAATTTTGTTCACATGATCATGGGGATGCAGCGAGTTATAATTGTGAAAAATGGTCCTAAGTCCCTTTTTTCACTGCTGTTGTAACTCTGAATAGTCACTAAATGAACTGTTGTAAGTTGAGGACTACCTGTAACGTCCATGAACATGTAGGGAATGCCTCTCTTTAGTGAAGAAACTTTTCCTTCAAATTTCTTGCTTCCTATGTCCTTTCTGTCTTAGTTCAGCCTCAGTAGTTAGGACTATCCCCCCCTCCCCCACTGCACTGGTTAAGATGAAGCACGTTCTGAGACGTCAGGAAGCCGTTCGGTGGAATGCTGGCTTGATTCAGCCTCATGCATTTTGTAAAACAGAAACTGGATATATGGATGCCAGCCACTCCGGATTACTGGCCCACTCGCTGAAGTGGTTGGGAATGGAAGTTCAAGTGAAATCTGGAGAGCCCACAGTGGATGAGCTCAGAGCCCTGACTGAACACATGCTGAAAAATCTCAGACTTAGCCTTGCACCTTTCCAGTTCAGGGGTCAGAGACGCAATGTCAGTTGGGGTGGGCAATACTGGATTTTGCAAACAATTTGGCATGCTGCAAAGCCCTTCCTATGATACAGTAACTGCATGTGTCCAAATAGCAAAAACTATTTGAATTTGGATTTTTTATTTTTTGCACTCTTTGGTTTTGAGCTGGAAAAGTAAATAAGATTCTGGTCAGGCTTCTTTGAATAAAAACAGTCAAGCTAGTTCTATAGCTCAGTGATGATAGGGACTGCATTTCTCTATTACCCTAAACTGTAATGTGATCTGTTTTTAATTTAGCATATGGCATGATCTTAACTAGTTGTGGCATACGCAAAAGATTGTGGTTAAAATAAGCCATGATTTAGCATTTCCTATTTCTTGAATCCCTTCAAGCCCTTTTCAGGAAGCTTCGCAAACACATCACAAGAGCAGTGGCATAAGCTCGCTGCTCACCTCTGCATCACATCTGTGAATCAAAATGTCAGAAAGAACAGCCACTGGAATCAGTATTCTCCCTAAATAAGAGCTGAATGAGACCTACTCCTGCAGGATTTTGAAAGCAAGGAAGGCACTGCCATTGCCATTTGGTTCTCCCAGTGAGTTTTTTAAAAGTTAATTTTACACAAGGATACTCTTGACTCATGCCTCAACATGGTCAACAAAAGGTGGTCAGCTGATAGTGCTCAGTGGATAGATGGACCAACATCCTTAATCTAACACAGCTATCTATTTCTTATGTAGAAGGTGAATAGGTTGCAGCTTGAATTACCCATTTATCTTTCCTGTCCACATAATAAGAATATCCATCAAAAGAAAAAAAATATATAACATTCCACAAGGACATACTACTTAGGACCTTTTATTGAATTTAACTGGTTGATCAAAGGTACATGGATTTAGTAGTGGTGAAATTCCATATAGGGTCATTTTGCACATTGCACCTAGTCACCTGTTAGTACTCCAGAAAGTATTTAAGAGCTGGGTTTTAATTTGCACAAGGCAGCTGAAAGAGAGAGATGAAGTTCTGGAGAAGGATAGGATCCTGAGGAAAAGGGATCCTTTCTTAAACTCCACCTGAGTTCCAGGAAGTGTCTTTTTTCCTGGGAAGAAGTCCACATTGTGATTGCACCAGCATTTCCTTACAATATTGTACATGATTTTCATGCATGATTCCTTTATTGTGCACATTCTGTCATACGCATTTCAATAGTGTTTGTTGTCCGTTGTATTTATTGTTAACATTTGATCAAAGAGCAATAACCTTTATTCTTGGTGATTATCCATTTACTTCCTGTGTGTGCAGCCTTTTTCACCCTGAATCTAGAATCATTTCAGACTTGATATCCAGGATGAGTTTCAAATGTGACAAGCTGAGGGTGAGACCTCTAAGAGGCTGACTTGCTTATCTCACTATTGAGAGTCAGTTTCTTGCAGTGGTTAAGGCATTAGGCTAAAAACCAGGAGACTGTGAGTTCTAGTCCTACCTTGGATGCCAGGCACCCTTTCAGCCCTAGGAAGGAGCAGTGGCAACTACTTTTGAAAAACCTTGCCAAAAAAACTGCAGGGACCTGTCCAGGTGGTGTCCAAGGATCAGACATGATTGAACAAAAGAAAACCAAATCTTGCTATTCATATTTCTAAATCTGTATGGCAAAGGCATTAGATTTGTGCTATATTTATTTTCAGTTATTGATAAAGATTTTTCTACTTAATAGATTGTTCACTTTGTTTCCATTACTATTTCGAATATTTTGGAAGTAAATATTTGCAAGTTGGACAGAGGAGTCAAAATGTTTCAAATAAATGTGCCCTTTTTGCCAAAGATACCATCTTACCCATATTTACATTTAGACTTCAGTTTTTGATTTCTGCCAATTATACACAGAACCAAAACATGATTTAAGAGAACAACTGTAATTGTGTGACATGAGGCCTTTTTGTACTCACATTGTATGTACATCTAAAGACTCATGAAAGAAATGCTTCTATTTTAATTGTGAGATTACCTTCTACACATTTCTAAAATTATTTGGGTGCAATAACTATCTTTCAAGCAATACTTTTTAAAACTATGTTCCAAATACAAGTCTTGCAACATATGGTAGCCCCTACCCAAATCTAACTGATCTTCAACCAGTTATCAAGGGTTCAATTTGGTTAGTACTTTTATGGAAAAATGTAAAAAAAAAATTTCTGGAAAAAGGCAGTGGCTAATCAATTTGTTTTTGTTGTCAAGAAAATGATCTGTATGGCCCTATGAAGATACGAGTTAAATTTGGCTTGAGGAAATCCATGTACTAATGTGGTTGAATTATTTGTAAGAATTGGTGGAGGAACTCCATCTATTGCTGTAAGTTAAAGATCAGATACGAAAGTTGATATTATAAATTGAATAGATATATAGACAAAAAATACTGACATACCTATTTGAATTTAATATTCATAGGGATGAATGTCTTAAAAGGCTCAAATAGTAAATTTTAGCACTTTCCGAAGACCAGTTCTTGCTTTCAGTTTCTCTAATTTGTTTTTCTGCAAGCTAAGGAAGTGGTTGTGAGTAAAATATGCTTCATCGTGCATGGACAAAATCTCACTTCGGCTTATCTGAAGCTTCTATTACCTGATTTTGTTATTAGGCGCTCCCATCTTACTCTGTTTCTGCTTGCTCTCTGTCCAACCCAGTGTTCATGAAAAAATGCCTAAGGCATCTACATTACTCACACTGGGTTTTAAAATAATTTTTACTGATGATTTTTAAATATCTTACATTGTGTTTGATTAAAGTGAATTATTAGCTGGAATGGAATCTGATAAATCTAGGGTCGATCGATACAAATCCTAAATGCGGGTTACACCTTTTCCACAATCCAAAGCATCGAGAGAAGATGAAATCAGTGTATCTCCTCATCTATTTTACCCACCCATTTAATTCCATTATTCATACACTCCCTTCCCCTGAACTGGGGCCAAAAATACAACTTCTGGATGAAGGGAATGAAAGGTTTATGGATATTGGTGAGGTTATTATACTATTGATGACTATTCCGTGAGTATTTCTATAATTGATATGAAACTGTGACAATAGATTTAGTCATAGAGGAAGTTATTAAGAGAGTGATTTTCTTTTTGAAGTTGTATCAGGTACATAGTTTACAGGGGGAATGAGTTATTTGTTCCCTGAAATAAGCTGTAGAGTGAAAATGGGGATACTATGAATGTGAAAAAAAAATCTGGGAAAATTCACTAATTCATTGGAAAGGAGAATGATACTCAAATCAAGCCTATTTATACTACAGTATAGGAAAAATAGCATTATCTTCATTTATTAACCCAAACATTTGATACTATTAAAAATAATTGCCTGCAATCAGGTAAATTACAGATCATTTCCCACAGTTAAATGTCTTTAGTTACCA